CAGGGTCTCATTTAGTTGGTGAGGCTGACCTCAAACTTTTGAGCCTCCTGCTTGAGTTGCTGGAATTACAAGTGTAGGCCACCATGCTCAGCCTTACGTTAGCTACTATAAAAATGAATGAAGAGGAAATCACTTGTCATTTCAGTTGTTACAACAAAGACATTTTATCATTTCACAAAACGCTTAAACTTATTTTACATTTTTGGAAATTAGGTGTAGAACTAAATGTATCATACATACAGAAGTTTATTCAAGTCTAAGGACAGAAATATTTTTAAAGCACAGTATCAAATGTATGGCCAATATTTATTTTCTTTGGCTATTTCTGATATAATTGTTGCTCATTTATGGATAGAAGAACCACTGTGAGATTATCACCACCAAGACTTTAAACCTTGGCTTTGAGACAAAAGTGCCCTCTTCAACTAACCAATGCTAACCAGTTGGGGTCACCAAATATTAGTATCAAACCAAGCCCCAACTCCTCCCATACCAAACCTGAATATGGTAAACAAGCTTCAAGAAAAACACATGACTTTTTTTCTCCAGTTTGCATTATCCCTGCCCAGCCTTCCTTGGCATGAGGGGAAAATTAAAGAGTTTATTATCTACTTTCAAGACCAAAGAAAAATGAACCCAGAGCACCAGTTCTTAAGGGGAAAAGAGCACAAATTCTGGAGTCTTTGAAAGATGGTGCCCAAACTTAGTTTCTTATCTTACATGAATCACTGATCCTTTTAAGACCTTAGTTTAGTTYTCTGTTCCATTCTTAGTTTGGTACTTGTCATCCACCTGCTCCACAGAGTTGGCCTAAGTCATCAGATACCATGTATTTGAGCTGATGTAAAGAGGGAGATGAAATGAAAACAACTTCCAAGCACACTGTAATCTCAGTGACTCAGGAGTCTGAGGCAGGAAAATCACAAGTTCAAAGCCAGCCTCAGCAAGTTAGTAAGGACCTACACAACTTAGCAATTAAAAAGGGCTGGCGGCGTGGGGGGGCTGGGGATGTGGCTCAAGCGGTAGCGTTCTAGCCTGGCATGCGTGCGGCCCGGGTTCGATCCTCAGCACCACATACAAAGATGTTGTGTCCGCCAAATGAATAAATAATTAAATATTTTTAAAAAGGGGGGGGGGCTGGGGATGTGGCTCAAGCGGTAGCGTTCTAGCCTGGCATGCGTGCGGCCCGGGTTCAATCCTTAGCACCACATACAAACAAAGATGTTATGTCTGCCGAAAACTAAAAACTAAAATATTAAAAAAAAAAAAAGGGCTGGGAATGTGGCTGTGTTTGGATACTTAATTTTCCTATGACATAACTCCAGATTGTCCCAGGGATTTTTACAAAAATGAAATAAAAATTTCCAACATTTTATAAATCACCAGTTCAAATGTTATGCTAACGACTCCTTAATGTCAATTTTTGCCACATAGATGATATAATGATCCTGGGATCCTTAATAAAGTAGAACTGTTCATGTTTTCTTCCCATGTAATTTTTAACTGCAACTGAAAGGCTTCTGATTTTAACTATGGACCATGGACCACATCTGAGGGATTATCATTGAGCATAATCTATAGACACAATGTGGATATTTTCTCATAAGGCCCAATACAATCTGCAAATAGATGACTCTATACACCATGCACAGTACACACAAACTCAACAGTCTGACATCTCCACTCAGCATCTGAAACTCACATATCTAAAACATAACTCTTCCTGCTCCAGATCTTACCTTCCCTGAAATGTTTCCTTTCTCAATCAAATAGCAAAACCATCTAATTAGTCTGAACAGTAATGTAGGAATCATCTTTAATTTATTTCTCCTTCTAGTTCTCTACCCATATACAATGTTTCTAAGAACTGTATATTCTACTTAAAAAGGTTATCCATGTCATTTCACTGCTACCACCCTAGCCCAAGTCACCAAATCTCTCACTTAGACTATGACAATAATCTCTTAACTTTTCTCCTTGGGTCTACTATGGTCTTTCTCTGTCTGGTTCTCCATCAGGCAACAGGAATCATTATGGTGATTCTTTGCCTAAAACTCCAATTTCCAAATTCCTTACCAGGCTGCAAAGGACTGGAATGTCTGGCTCCTGCCTACTGTTCACCTCATTTTCTTCCTTCTACATTCTATGATCTGGCCTTGTGTTAAAGAAATTAACTGTACCCCAATATTTGCTTTCCTTTTCCTCAGCAATTAAATCTTGCTTTTTTTTTTAAGCTTAAAATAAGGGCATGGAATAATGATCTTTCCCAACCTCTCTCTTTTCCCACTCTCTCTCTCTCTCTCTTTTTTTTTTTTTTTTTGTGTGGGGGTGGGGGTGCAGTGGGGGGGGACCAGGAATTAAACCTAGGGGCACTTAATCACTGAGCCACATTCCCAGCCCTCTTTAATTTTTGAGACATGGTCTTGCTAAGTTATGTAGGTCCTCACTAAGTTGCTGAGGCTGGCTTTGAACTTGTGATTCTCCTGCCTCAGACTCCTGAGTCACTGAGATTACAGGCATGCACCACCAGGCCAGGCTCCCAGGCTCCCAGCCTCTCTTACAGATAAGTGTGGCTAGGTGACAATACAGACAAAAAAGGGGGATGTGGCCATCTCCTTTCTTTTTCCTATCCTGCTTGCTGGAATGTGGAAAGTGAGAGCAGGAGAAGTCAACTGGATCATTAAGTTGAAGGTACCTGTGGAAGGCAGACAGCACAAAATGGATGAAGACAAGTCCTTGATATCTGAACCCACCATATCATCCCTGGACCTTCATATAAGAAAGAAGCYCCCCCCCCCCCCCCGCCCACTGTGGTGCTGGGGATTGACACAGGGCTTTCTGCATGTGAGGCAAGCACTCTACCAACTGAGCTATATCCCCAGCACAAGAAGAAAACTTCTTTTTGTTTAAAAACAAAAAATTATTTGGGTTTCCTGTTCCCTGAAGCAGTTTTGTCTAAATTTTTATACCATAACAGACTCCAGGTTCTCCATTCTCTTGATTCTCTGGATGCAATTACCTCTATCTAAAAACACTGCTACCTTGTCCAGCTCTTTAACTGCTTCACCTTTCAAATCTAGGCTAAAATATTACTTTTTTACTTAAGTCTTGTTTGACATCTGGATGAGCTTAAATACATTTCAAATTTATTCCTTACCTTTTCCCTTAGAAAATATTCACCACACATTTACTTGGATTAATATTTGCCTCTTCCACCATGCTACATACTCTAAGATAAGTATCTGCTTTGTCCACTGTCATCCAAATGCTTGGCCCAACCAATATTTGCTCAATTGAACATATGACTAATGCCACGGCCCTGGAGTGATTTTCTGGACCACACCCCATGGATTTCTTGGCCTTTTATGTTGGGACTTCTRTAAACCCCCATCTATCAGTCCATTCCTGTCAGACTGTTTCACAATGTAAAGACCATTTCTCTCCATTTGGTTTAGACAAATCTTAAAAGTGCCAACTCCTTAAGCAGATCTGCAGTTCTTTCTACCACTGCTTCATGTTCTTATAATATGTATAGGTACTACAGTGAAAGTATTATGTGTTTTCTTGGAATTTTTTTAATGGAGATCTTTCACTAAAAAGACCAATATTTTTAAGAATCAGAATGTCTTAGGGCATTTTCTTCTAGGAAAACATAATACACAGGGGGCTGGGGATATAGCTCAGTTGATAGAGTGCTTGCCTTGCACGCACAAGGCATTGGGTTCAATCCCCAACACCACCAAAAAGAAAAAAAAAAAAAAAGAAAAGAAACATACAAGGGCTGGTGGTAAATAGCTCTGTGGTAGAACACTTGCCTAGAATGTGCAAGACTCTGGGTTGGACCCCCAGCACCAAAGAAAAGAAACAAACATATAAACTACATTGCCTTAATATTCTTGTCATGTACAGAAAAACATTCTTAAAACATTTCAAAAGTCTCTGGTCTTAAAGTAAACAGAACCTTTCAATGACATTATAAGTACCTGTTGGTTTACTGTTTTATGTACTCATCCTTCATTGACTGATGATTCTACACGGCTTATTCATTTTCAGATTAAACAATCTCTCTCTCTCTCTCTCTCTGTGTGTGTGTGTGTGTGTGTGTGTGTGTGTGTGAGAGAGAGAGAGAGAGAGAGAGAGAGAGAGAGAGAGAGAGATAACACTGTGGACTGAAATAGGATATAGGAAGAAAGTAATGGAACATTTTTAAAAATCAAGAGATCTGAATGATAGTTCCAATTTTGCCAATAAAATGACTCACTGGGTAACCCTGAATCTGTCTTTTTCTAACTCTAAAATGAAGTGTTTAGTGCAGATATGAGGAGAAACTGTATATTTACAAGTACCCACGGGGATCCTAATTTTGGATTTATAATGGCTTAAATGAGTCTACAACCTATTTATTCTTCAAGGATCTAAAATCAAGTATGTATTTTGGAAAAGCCAGTGTTTTCGAGATGAAAATAGCCTAYAGAGTGTAAATCTTCCCAGTTTATGTTATTCTCCTTCCACATTTATTGGCTGCCATACTACATTGAGAAGGTGTTTTCAAAAAAAAAAAAAAAAATCTGCGCAGGCCACTAAAACCTAATGGTGTTCACTGCCACTCCCTTGATCCTTGAACATCCTTTCTCTTAAACTGATCTAGAACCTAATAAGGAAACTCCACCGCGCAACTAATTCAGCGTCTGTCAACTGAACGAATACCTGCACTACAACATGCAAAGACATTTTTGGCTAATTCAGCGCTGTAGAGCAAGGCCAGCCTAGACCCTTCTTTCTACGCCTTTAAGAAAGATTAGAGAGAGAGGTAGCACGCGCCCAGAATGAACAGGTTACAAACACCTCAAATAAGTTCCGGCAACCCCATGCTTTGATTCTGAGAAGCTGCAGACTCTGTGGATTCCTGCCTGATCTCTCCAGAGCCACTGCCCACCTCTTTACAACCCTTAGAGGCGACCGCCCTGCCCCCGCCTCTTTAGTACCCAGCCGGCCCTGACCTCCTCGAACTGCTCGCCGGAACAACCAGCGCCACGAGCCTCCAAAAGCTCCCGGAACTGCTCAAGGGTGACGGACTCTTCGCCGCGGCCCAGCCGCTCTTCCAACCAGCGTAGCAGCGCGCCGTGGTGCCTCGACACTAGCGACTCGTAGGGCGGTGCGGGCCGCAAAGCAGCCGCTGCCTCTCGTAGCCGGGCAGGTTCCAGCAGCGCGGCAGCGGGAGGCAGCGCGGGGGCCGCAGGGCCCAAGCCAGGGGTCGTGCTCGAGTCCGCGGCCCAGTCCTGGTGTGGGCCCCAACTCTCGCCCCCGGCGGCTGCCGCTTCGTCTTCACTGCTGTTACTCGGAGCGTTCCCCATGGGGTCTCCGTCTTGGGTGCCCGGCTCTGCCGCCGCCGCCGCCTCCCTGCCACGACCTGTCAACCTCCGACAGCACCCGGCGGGTGGGGACAGGCAGGGGACGCCGGCGGCGGCAGCGGCTTCCGACTTCCTGGCCGTCAAGTGAGGACTGTTGCAACATCGCCGTTAAGCGACTCTACCAACTCACGACAGTTAGACAAGGACAGCCTTAGCCAAGGGTAGAACCCTGAKTCCCTAGAAGACGCGTCTGTCAAGACGTTACGTCATCCCGCAGCCTCCTCAACCGCCATCTTTGTTGGGGGCGGATAGCTTATAATCAGAGAAGGTCTTCCGCTGCTGTTCTACATTCTCGTCATCCCTTTACGTTCCCAAGCTATATTTAAAAAAGTATGAGAAAGAGTCGGGACCAAGTAATAAGCTTTTCGCACAGGAATTTTAAAGTGTGTGTGTGTGTGTGTGTGTGTGTGTGTGTGTGTGTCGCGCCGGTGACGTCACGGACGCGTCTCTGCCATCTTAATTGTGGTTAAGAGAGGCGGCAACTTCGTAAGTGCGGTGGGGTGCGGCTGTCTAGATGCAGAGCACCTGCGGGCGTGGACTCTTGTTGAGCCTGGCTGTGGTGGCGGCGGCAGTGTTGGCAGCACGGCTAATGGGCTGGTGGGGTCCCCGCGCCGTCTTTCGCCTTTTCATACCCGAGGAGCTGGCCCGGTACCGCGGCAGGCCAGGGGATCCGGGCCTTTACTTGGCATTGCTCGGCCGCGTCTACGACGTGTCCTCTGGCCGAAGGCACTACGAGCCTGGGGCACACTATAGCGGCTTTGCAGGTATTAGCGAGGCTGCTCATTCCTTTTCTTCCTCCGGGGGGACCGGTGTCTTTCGTTCATTCATTTTTTTCAACCGTTTCTCCCCACCCCCACGTTCTTCAGACCGCGGTGGCGAACAAGCTGCTCCATCTTTTTGGTCTCTGGCGAAACTATAGCCAACTATTATCGACCTGTATCCTCCCTGTTCACCGCTGTTCGTGATTTAGGTTTGAGAAACATGTTTTATATCTCTTTGGTTACCCACTTTGGGAAACGGGGGGATACCTGCTTTGTGCCAGGTTTAGTGCAGGGCGCTCAGGACACAGAGATGAATGAGGTCCTCTTCCCTGCCCTCACAAATCTATTAATTTCAGCCTCCTCTCTATGGGGTAACAAGAAAACTTTTTGGATTGTTTTTCCTTTTTTGTCTAGGACAGTTATGTGCAGCATGCGTAGGCACATTTGAGTATAAGATTTTGTGTGAATGTATGTTTTTAGTTTTCTTGGGTATATACCAAGAAGCAGAATAGCTATTATGATAAATCTGTGTTTAACTTTTTTGTAAACTGCCAAATATGCAATGGCTGCWCCATTGTATAATCCCACCAGGAATAAATTTGTTTCAGTTTCTCCACATTCTCACCAAAATTCTTTAAGTCTTTTTTACTATAGTCATTCTAGTGAGTTTGAAGCAGTATCTCACTGAGATCTTGATTATTTGCATTTCCCTAATAGTTAACAGTGTTAAGCTATGAACTTGATGAGCAATTGTGTATCTTTGGAGAAAGGTCTATTCAAATCCTTTGTTTTTCAACTGTATTGTATTGATTTTTGAGTTGTAAGAGTTCTTTATATTATGGCTGCTAGACTTTTATCAGATATATGATTTGTAAGTGTATTCTCCCATTCTGTAGGTTATCTTTTCATTTAAAAAATATTTATTTTTTGGCAATCCTGAAGATCAAATCAAGGGCCTTCTTCATGCTAGGCAAGTGCTTTCCTTGGAGCTACACTCCAGCCCCTTCATTTTCTTGATCATGACTTTTGATGTACAAAAGTTTTAAATTTTGATCAAATTCAATTTATCTATTTCCTTTGTGCTTTTGATATCCTAAGAAATCATTGCCCAGTTAAGATCACAAAGATTTACATCTGTTTTATTCCAAGAGCTTTATAGTTTTAACTGAAAAATTCAAGTCTTTGRTCTATTGATGTTGGGAGCCACAACCAAGTCAAGGTGTCGCCTGGCATTTTGCCAGCAAGCCATTAGGATGATGATGGTTAAGTTAAGCTGTGTATGGTTATTGGGATAATGACTGATTGCTGTAACTGGATGTTGCTAAATTGAAGCAAGCTGTGTGTTCAGTTGTGTATATGAACCTCTGCTGTACGGCAATAAGGCGGCTCCTGCTACCTCGGGTGCCCGCTACTTTTGAGTTCCCGTTGACTTCTCCCGGAGTTCCTGTTAGTTCCCGTTGGTTCTCTCTGAGTTTCGGTGGAGTTCCGGTTGTGTTCCCTTGGGGTTCGGGCAATAAAGTAGTTCCTGTTTGAACCTACAAGTGGCTTGTGACCTCCYGGTTATTTCGTGCCCAGCCAGACTGCGGCATATTTTAAGTTAATTTTGTATATGGTATGAAGTAGGGGTCCAATTTCATTCTTTTGCTTGTGGCTCTTCACATGTTCCAGCACCCATTTGTTGAAAAGACTATTCTTTTCCTTTGAATTGTCTGGGCACCTTTGTTAACAATCAGTTGGCTTTAAATGTATAGATTTCCAAGTTCAACAGTGAGGTGCTAAGAAACTCAGTGAGACCCTGTCTCTAAATAAAATGCAAAAATGGGTTTGGGATGTGGCTCAGTGGACAAGTGCTCCTGAGTTCAATCCCCAATAGCAAAAAAAGAAAATCTATAGATTTCATTCAGTCCATAGCTATTGGGAACTTGACTCAAGATTAGGCACTATACCAGACACTGAAGAATCAATATTAAATGAGGTTGGGTGTTCTTTTCCTTGATAAAATGTAAAGGCTAGTAATAGAAAAGACAAGACATTAAGTGAATTATGCAATTAATGAATTATTTTGTGATAATCATTAAAAAAGACTAGTTTTATCAGGGACCCTAACCTAGCTGAGGAGAAGGAGAGAAAGACAAAGAAAAAGCATGCGCACATGCATACATATAGTGAATAATGTAGAAAGTGGTGAGGCCAGATGGGCAGTCATTGGTGCAGGGCAGCCATTGGTGCATGACATGTTAAGAACTTTGGACATTGCCACAGGACAAAGGAAAGTTATTCAGGATATTTTGGGGGGGGCGGGGCAGAGGAATGACATGATGAATTCATGTTTAAAATATCATTCTTGGGTTGGGGATGTAGCTTAGTGGTAGAATGCTTGCCTAGCATGTGCAGGGCCCTGGGTTTGATCCACAGCACTGCAAAAAAGGAAAGTCTAAGTGTTATATGGAGAATATRTTTGTGGGGCAAGAATGAATGTGGAAAAATCTGCTAGGTGTCTGCTGTGACAGTTTAGATGTGAGCTGATGGTAGCCTGGGCTTGCTTGGTGGCATGTGGAGACAAGTAGATACAAGAACTTTTCTGGAAGGAAAAATAGGACTTGGGCACTGAGTACTTGTGAGGGGTGAAGGAGGTGTCAAGGATCACATTCCTGGAATGGTTGACATTTACTGAGATAGGAAAAACTAGAGTAGGTGCAGGTTTCCTGGGGTAGGAGTTGCTGATGACTATTAGTTCACTGTGAACATTTTGAACTTGTGATGTCTGTAAGATGATTGAGTGATGGTGAGTAGGTAGGTAGTTGGATATATAGGTCTGGTACCCAAGAGAGGTCTAAACTAAAGATACAACTTTGGTGATCTTTGACATACAGGTAGAATTTGAAAACAGAAGCATGAATAAGGTTGTCAAGTGAGAAGGTGTAGACAATAATCATTCTCTGAGGCTTGTGACAGGAGCTAAAAAAAGAGGAAGAAAACCAGGAAGGTAGCATCATGGAAGCCAAAGGAAGTGGTCAGCTGTATTAAATGTTACTGAAAGTAAATGAAAGAATGTGCCAAATGTCAAAGAAATGTATTTTCCAGATTCAGGGGTGTCTATCTCAGAGGAGGGGGATTACATTTCCTGGAGAAAGGGGTTATCAGGACAATCTTTTGAAAAGAAATTTTTAAGTTCATACAGTGATGGTAATTTACAACTGAATCTGTTGGAAACTTCTCTCCTGCAGGCCGAGATGCATCCAGAGCATTTGTGACTGGAGACTACACTGAAGCAGGCCTTGTGGATGATGTAATTGATCTGTCCTTCTCTGAGATGCTGATACTTCAAAATTGGATTTTATTCTATGAGAAGAATTATGTTTTTGTTGGTGGGTAGTCCACAAGTCATTTCCATAGATTTCACTTGGTTGTTCTGCAATGTTTTTCAAAAGGCCAGATTTATTTATGAATTGGGCTAAAAGTTAAAATATGAAAAATTTTATATATTTTTWAAAATATTTTAATGTAGTTCASTGTGGAGTTCTTGCTTAGCATGCATGAGACCATGGGTTTCATCCCCAGCATCTTCCCACCCCAAATCTGAAAACCAGCTCTGGATTTTTCACTTTAAACTCTGGTTATTAGTGTGGCAGTGAGCCCCTGATGGAGATGGATGGGCATCTGTTTTTAATCACAGTCATGGAAGAGGATTGCCAAACCATTTGCCTTAGCCTCAGGTGCCCAAAGCTGATGGGTGCCTGTCCCATTCTTGAACTAAGYCAGCTCCAGGAGGGCAGCTTCACTGTCTCACTCTTTTCCAGGCATCTAGCTTCAGCATACAGCCAGGAAGCTTGAAGTCTAAATTGGTGTGCAGTTTTTTATTTTGCTCTCTAAGGAGACCCAAAATCTTGAGTGAACTGTCTCCAGGGTGGAAGTTATGCTAATCAGACATTTTTTAGCTGGATGTGAGGTACACACCTGTAATCTCAGAAACTCAGGAGGCTAAGACAGGAGGATCACAGGTTCAAGGCCAGCTTCAGCAACTTAGTGAGACCCTGTCTCAAAAAAATAAAAAGGGCTGGGGATGTCGCTCAGCAGTAAAGAACCCCTGTTTTTTTCCACCAGTACAAATGACTGAATGAAAGAAGGAGTGAATATTTGTTAAAGGCAATTGTGTAAGGTATGKCACCTGCTACTTACTGGTGATACATGAGGGAACTCATCTTAAATGAAAAGATAACTAACAGTGTCCTAAGACACTGCTAACAATAGATTCCTTCAAGGGCACTGAGAGCTGGGAAGGCTAAGAAATTTGTATTTTAGGAAGCCATTCTAGGGTTTTAAATAGGCATAGAAATGACATGGTAAGATGCATGTTTATTTATCTATCTGTCTTGTCTATCAATCCATTCATCTTGGGTGTTCAACCCAGGGTATCCTATCATTGAACTACATCCTCAGTCTATTTTACTTTTCATTTTGAGACGCAGTCTCATTAAGTTGCCATCCCTGACCTTATGATCCTTCTGCCTTGGCCTCCCAAGTAACTGGGATTGCAAGTGTGCTTCGCCATGCCAGGCTCAATTCATGTTTTGTCCAAATGCTTTGTGGATAAAGAACTGTAGGGGGGCCTGAGATGTCACAGAGACTTCTTGGGAGGCTATTGTCACAGTCTGTGGTTTGGTTTAAGATGGTAGTGGTAGAAATGGAAAGGAATGGACAGAATTGAGATATGTTTTAGAAGTAGGATTGACAAGATTCACTAATGGATTAGACATGAATTAAGGGAAGTATATATTTGGATGTGAAGAGGGGGAGTCAGAGAGATCCAAGGCTCCTCATCCAAATAACAGAGGCCAGAAGTGACATAAAAAGATTTGAGGAAGTCAGGGAGGGATTGGACTTGACATGAACGGAATCCTGAACATGTAGAATATACATGCCAGTGGAATCTGAGTCAGTTCTTGGTGACTGCAGAGGTAGGATACACAGCTGGGGACAGGCAACACATAATACCACCTATGTAATCAAACCTTACAGAAGTGCTTTCTGTTGTTTCCCTTGCCCCGTGACAGAAGCTGGCTGTGATGGCCATTTTTACCTCAAGACTTGGACACATTAGGATCCTGTACCCAAGGAGAACTGATCTGTTTTGGTTCTGGCCTGTAGGCTGCAGACCACTTTCTAGCTGCTGCCATAGTTTGGACTTTAATTTTGACAGGCATTTTAAATGAAAACCAGTTTCTAGTCATGTCCACTGAAAGCCTGAGCCATTGAAGGGGAGAAAGTGGGCATCAGGCCAGACTTCTTACTAGCTTCATAACCTTCCCTAGTTGCTGGATCTCCTAATTTCTGTCTTATAGATATGAAAACAATTATTTCTCTCAGGTTGCTATGGGGATTTTGAACTGTTGGTGAAGTGCTGATACAAAGTAAGTATAAAAGTATATAGCATAGTGTCTGATACAAAGTAAGTGCTCAGTAAATAACTTGTAAATAGTTTGATTTGAGCAGAATTGAGTTACACAAATGTAAACCAATAAGCTATTCATTCAAACATTTGTTTGAATACCTACTGTGTGCCCTAAGCTTTGTAAAGCATTAGTAAATGAATCACACAATGTTCTACCTTCAGGGAATGATGTCTGGAGGCAAGAAAGATTCAGGAATTTCTGCACTGGAGSATAGTTCAGACAGAACAGGGATGCTTATATATGGAGTCTTGTAGGATGCTGACAGAGACTGAGAAGGCACCAAAAGTCCTTCCAGGGCTGTGGTGTAGCTCAGTGGTAGAGAGCTTGCCTAGCATGTGCAAAACCTGGAGTTTGATCCCCAGCACTACATTCACACATATGCACATACGTGCGTGCACTCGCACAAAGTGTCTCTAGTACAAGTTCTCAATAAGCAAGTACCCAACAGGCTATTGTAGTGCACTGAATTCCAAACCCCTGGGAGCTTGAGCTTGATTCCAATGGCTCAGCATCTGTTCATGCTTCTCCCCAACTTTTACTCTGACTTCAGCTCTCCTGTCACCACAGGAAGGGTGATAGGAAGGTTCTATGGAGAAGATGGGCAGCCAACCCCAGAACTGATTCAGGTGGAAGCCATGATGGTCAAAGGCCTGGAGGCAAATAAACGGGAACAGAAAGAGAAGCAGAAGTTCCCACCCTGCAATGCTGAGTGGAGTGCCACCAAGGGTAGCCGCTTCTGGTGTTCCCAAAAGAGGTAAGCCAGCTTCTGCTCCCTTCCATCTCTTATCCAAATCAAACTTCTAGGCTGTCCTGCCTGCATTGTTCAGGGAATCCATGAATTGTTAACCCAGGGAACTGTTTCAAAATATATGTGCTCTATAATAGTGACTCAACTTTGGTTGCATGTTAGATCTTCTGGGGAATTTAAAAAAATGACTGATGGTGGGATCTTCTTCCAAATGATTGAGTAACATTAGGATTCAGACTTGGATCTGAGATTTGAGTATCTCCCACTGTCCCCTGCCCCAAGACCCTGGGGGTCTGGCAGTGAGGAGCAGGCATGAGTATTGTTTCTCACTTGCTTTGACACATTCAGCCAAATATGATTTGGGTTTCTTGTCTGCCAGTGCACATTATTCCTGCCTGCTGGAGAAAAGGATGGGAAGATGGCCCATGCCATGATGCCCTTTAAAGGCACTGCACATTCTGAGTAATTCCAGGAGGTACAGGCTAGATGGAAAAGTCTTTTCCTGCAAGAACAAAGTGAGGTGAGCCTGATTAGAAATGATGCCACAGAGATTGTTCCGGGTTGGTTTGGAAAGCTGGAGAAACTGGTGTTTTTACTACTTTAATCATGAGGCCAGCCAGACTTGAGGTTCAACTCAAGACTCTCAAATTGCCTTTAGCTTTACTAAAGGGACAAAAGAAACCAGAAATTGGACAAACTTTCTAGCCTCAAAGACCTCAAAATGAGTCCAGTTCTCACTGAAAAGGGACAGGGACTGTTGGGGGGAGTTCATATCCATAAGTGCTAAACACCCTCTTCTGCAGGACAGGTGGCTCATTGTGTGGACAAAAGCAAGCAGTCAAAGCTACCAGTTTTCCCTAGACCCTGCTACTATATCATCACCCATTAGAGGAGCGGGGTAAAGGAAGGTGCAGGAAAGAAAGGCCTTTCTCTCCTGAACACCATTTTTGAAGATTCAGCTTCTCTAGTGTCATGTGTCATGTGAGAACCTGGCCTTTGCACTTTAGGGGRAGGAGCTGGGATCTGAGTGGGCTTTCCTGGGGCACAAGTTCAAATGCAGGTGGCCTGAGAACACTTGGCTGCCATAGGTCATCCCCTGGGCCTATGGAGTACATTTAGATGCTTGCCTGTGCTCTGCTGGAAAGCCTGCCTCCCTCTCCCTCCCGTCTGTCTCCTGAACCCTGCCTTGCTTTCAGGACTGAGCTGCTCAAGTGAATGTGGGGGCTCTATCCCTGAGCCTCAGCCCAGTTTGTTGTTTTTGAGAGAAATGTGTGTCTCTGAGAGAAATGAGCTCTGAAGATAGGACTCAGATATGGATGGAGTAAGGATCACCAGTGGAATGGATGGCTAGATGGGAAGGAGGTATTTGRGGCCCTAACAACCTTGTTCTTAGGTAAGCTACAAGTGGGATGGTTTCTAACTGGGTAGCAGTTTTTCTGACAGCAAGTAATCCTGGTCCCAGGCACTGGAACATATATGAGGTATCAATTCTAAGAATCTCATTTTCCTTTCGCAAGACCTCTGAGTCCACAAGACACAGAACTCGGTACCCTAACATGAGTTAGGTCTCTGTCTAGGACARGAGGTTGCCAGACTATGTTGGGCCGAGCTGAATCCTCTTATCTCTGAAGCCTGGTGGCATCAAGAGCTAGGCCTATACAAGGACCAGTACAGCTGGCAACAACTCTTGATGTGAGTGGCTCCCAGAGAAGGCTGACTTAGCTGGCCAAGACCTACCAAGTTGCCCAATTCCCACCAAGTTCCCAGGCCCTAAAGTTAAGATGTCCTGCACTGGGATAGAATGGGGACTAGAGAAGAGAAGCTTACATGCCCAAAGGTGGGATCCTTTCCCAGCTATCAGCATCCTTCAGGGAAGAGGTGCTGCCTTTTTCAAAGGCACTAAGCAACAGCCAAAGAGCAGTGAAAGGGACAATGGGCACTGTCTTTGRCCCCGAGAAAGTGGTGTTGGTGCCATGCAGGGGAAGCTGGAGGAAGTCAGGAGAGCAAGAAGGCTTGGGCTGAATGTTGCAGAATGCAGCTTGGGATAGCACTAAGGTAGGAAGTGGAATGGCTTCTCCTTTTCATAAGTTCTCACTGGCTACTTCCTTTGCTCTTTGTCACAGAAAAACTCACTAAGGAGACCTCTTTTTTTCTGTCCATAGTGGAGGTGTGAGCAGAGACTGGATTGGCGTCCCCAGAAAGCTATATAAGCCAGGAGCCAAGGAACCCCGCTGTGTGTGTGTGAGAACAACCGGCCCCCCTAGTGACCAGCTGCCTGACAACCCTATACACACAAATCGTGGGGACTTGGATGACCCCAACTTGGGGGAATACACAGGCTGCCCGCCTCTGGCCATCACATGCTCCTTCCCACTCTAAGCTGACACCCTGAATCTTGATAACACAGGGAACCCTGCCGAGAACTTATGCTTCTGTGTCCTAGGATGGCCCTTGGCAAGAGACAGAAAGGTCTTGAAGGAATCTGACCACATCCTGCAAATGTGCCTCACCATGGGCTCCCCATTCTGGTGACAGGCAAGAGATTGGCAGCCAGCCTCATGCTTGTCTGCCTGTTCTGACACTATTCCTCCTAGGCCTATTTGTGATCTTCCTTCAGAGCCCTCAGAAATTAATGGGCACAGATATGACCAATTCAGAAATAATGGGATAAACAAGGGGAAAGCTCTGAGCTTTCTTTCCTATGGACTCCCAAGCTGCCTAATCAGCTGCCAGCCTGGGCCCTGCCCATAACCCCAGCTCTGTCAGCATCTGAAGCAGTGGCAGAAAGGGGCAATGTCTCAGCAGATACAACCCAAGAAACTGTGCACGTTAACAGCACCAGCAGAAAGAAGAACACTTGTGATCACTGACTTTCATGACTTTTCTTCTGACTTCCACCCCAAGGCAAACTTGAATTTACAACCAAAAGCCCGTTGGCTTGATTAGAGCTCCTGCAATAAGTAAGCATGGATAATAAAATGGGGTAGGCCAATTCTGGAATTGGAAAGTTTTTGCACATACATGGCTGCAGTAAATCCATGTGTCTCTGAACAAAATAACAATTTAAAGCAAGGATATTCTTTTAAACACTTAAAATCAGGTGTGGTGTGTTTATAATGGGAGAAGTCTGCATAGTGATTGAAAGGTAGTTTTGCTATAAAGTTAAGTGATTAGCCTAACATCAACATCTAGGCAAGACTGCAAATGTCATTGCAAAGAGCCCTGACTCAAAGTGGCTGGGCTTACAACCTGTCCAGCAGTGTGTATGTCTAAGGTCATCTGTAATCACCTACACTTGACAAATTTCATACTCAGTTACCTTTTTTTTTTTTTTTTTTTTTGTGGTGCTGGGGATTGAGTCCATGGCCTTGTGCATGAGAGGCAAGCACTTTACCAACTGAGTTATATCCCCACCCCTCTCAGTTATTTCTTGAATTCTTATTAAGTAGATGAGGGCAAGGAATGTTTCTGGTTCACAGATAAGGACATGAAGACTGATGCTGTTACAGGTTGTGGGCTTACCTTATCTGAGCCTTCCCCTCAGCTCTCTCTCCATCCCCACCCCAGGCCTACCCCACCTAGACCTGTACCTCTTCCTGTCTCTTGCCCTTCCCTTTGAGTATGCATTAAAGAGGTCACTTCTATGACATCACAAATAAAACACTGTCCCTCAACCCCATGGTAGTGGGTAATTATCATACCTACTTCCTATTACAGCCAAGCATTTTGAAAGAATAGCTTATACTCAGGATCTTTGTTTTTCAACCCTAATTTGCTATGTAGCAGTCACCTGCCTTCTCTACTCAGTAGCAAGATCAATTCTGTACTGGTAAACACCATAGTCACAGTCAGTTCTTATCTACCTTGAGCTCTTGATCCTGTTGACCATGAGGTCCTCCATGGAACCCTTTTGGCTTTATCCTGGTTTCCTTTTCTCCCTCTGACTCTTCCTTCTCTCCCTCTGACTCTTCCTTCTCAGTCTCCTTGAACACCTGGCCTCCCCCATGAACCTCTTTCTACTGGCTCTCCTCCCTCCTATTTCAGCAGCCACTTTTACTGCCAGGCTTTACCTCCAGAATGAGGAGCTTTCCAGAGTCTTCCCCGTGTTTGATACTGTTTTCATCATTCCACCCACAGCCCTTGTTCTCCAGGAGAGCAGCACCTCCATCTCCACCTGACCCCAAGAAAAAGTCCTGGCAATTGGTCATAGCTCCTTCCTCCCTCCTTCCCACCACTCTCCAAATCCTGCAAGTCCTACTTCCTCAGTTCTCTTGCCATTCCTGTATCTATTCCTGAACTATTCTGGAACTACTGCAGGAGTCCACACTCCTTCCTCCACACTGCTGCAAGTCATCTTTCCTTGCAATGACAGGGCTCACCATACCCCAGTGAAGCCTCAGTGGCTCCCTACATCTACAAGGACTAAGTGCCAGATCTCCAGAACCTTTGCAAAGGTGGCTTTTCTGTGGCCTATCTCCTTCTAGTCCCTGTATCTCCTGTATCCTCCCATGTACATCTGCTCTCCAGCCTTCCTCTCAAAGTATTATGCCTACAATGCCTTCACACACGTGGTTTCCTCTGCCTAGAACAATATCTTCTCTGCTTTTTTCTTCAAAATCCAGCCTCTCTAGGATGCCTTCATTAACCACTGGCCCAGAGGCTGGATTTAAATGCATTTGCCCTAAGTTCCCATAGCACTCTGTTCACTCCCATAAGAATATATCAGTGTGCTTTAGCCATGCATTTCCTATCAGCCTCTTTTCAGTGGATCACACTGAGGACAGAAGCGCAGGTTCTTCAGCTTTGTACACACATATTCACAGTCCTCAACATGTGGCAAGGGCACAGGGTTAGATCTATTTTGGCAATGAGGCAACTAAGGCCCCCTAAACTTAAGATGCCAGAGCAATGCAGCTGAGCCTGGAATTTGGTTTTTGACTCCTGATTCAGTGCTATTTCCATTCCGCCACATTTTTGCATGTCTGCTCTCTCTGGGGCAGAAGCAGAAAGCAGGAGAGCTGAAATTAGGACCTTTTTCTGAGTTTCCTGCAGCTCTGAGGTCAGTGCCTGAGGCTCCTCTGTTGACTGGAAACTAATCACTCCTTTGGTCATTCAGCAAGTACCATTAAGACCTTACTAAGTTCCTACTAAGTCTGGGTGATGTGGTGCAGGCCCTGTAATCCCAGTGGCCTGGAGGCTGAGGCAGGGATTTCTCAAGCCAGCCTCAGCAACTCAGTGAGACCCTATCTCATTAAATAAATTACAAAATAGGGCTAGGGATGTGGCTCAGTGGTTGAGTGTGCCTGGCACCAGAAAAAAAAACAACAAAACAAAACAAAAAACCTTACTAAGGGAGAGGCATTGAATTGCGTGAGGATATGGGAAATGAAGATCCTAGCCTCTGGGATTTACTATATGGTAGAGGAGCCAGAGGATATTCTTGGGCAGGAGTGCAGGGATAGTGTGAGGGACAAGCCCAGAGATGTGTAGACCCTTCAAAACAAACTGCAAAAGGAGCAAAACAGGTGTCTTTAGTGGACTTTGGCAGAGCCTAGAAGGTGCCTGGTCTCTGACTTAAGCAAAACTTCTGAACCCACGTTCCAGGACAAATTGGCTAGCCTTGAGCACCTGCTCAGTTCCTTGCTCAATGAGAGCTCATTTCTCCTTTTCTGCCAACCACTTACTTAGTGGTAAAGAAGTTCCCTTATGTTAGAGCAAATGATTCATGATTCGAAGGGCTCTGTGATAAGCTGGTGATTAATGGAGAAATGCCTCTTCTCTTTCCAGTAAAGGTAACCCTGGGCAAAACTGCAGAGAAGGTCAGTCCCTTCCTGATGGAAGCCACAGAAAGTCCAGCTTAGGCTGAGCATTCAGTTAGACTTGAGGGAAGTAGAAAAAAATGTGTTGGGCAACTGTGCCAGGCTGTGCCCTGTGCAAGGAGCTTTGTTCTTATTTAATCTCAATGTCAGCCTTGAGAGGTTTCCATTTTATGGCCCAGAAAAGAGGCATAAAGTTCTCTCCATCTTTTACTAGAGGTAGAATTTCCTTAGCTATCATACCTACTTCCTACCACAAACAGCCATTATATAGCTGTTATCAATGATTAAAGTAGCCATCAAGTTGACAGAACTGAGCTGTTTTTTTTCCCCCTACACCAGTGAGCAGTGTCAAAAGAAAAAGGCTGGGCAACTGCTGGCCAACATGTTGAAGGTAATTTCATCACCTGCCTTTCAATTCTGAGAATTCAGTTTGCTATGAACACAAAACTAAGAGGAGTCTGGATTTTTTAAAAAAAAAWTTTTTTAGTTGTAGATGGACACAACAATACCTTTATTATTTATTTATTTATTGATTGATTTATATGGTGCTGAGGATCGAACCCCAGTGCCCCACGCATGCAAGGCAAGCAAGGCAAGCAAGCTACCATTGAGCACAACACCAGCCCTGAGTCTGGGTTTTTAGTGACATCTCAGTCACTGTATAATGAAGCCTGTCAAAACCCCCATCTCATCTCTTGCTTTGCTCTAGGAAAAGCTGGTAACTAAAACCTCAATCCCACAGAAAGGTTGGGGCTGTGTCCCTCTGAGGGCAACCCTGAGCTGGACCCCTCTCCCTCGAGACTGTGCTGTTCTGCTAGAGGCYCCAGATTTGGTCAAGTGGGCAGCAGAGAGATTGCAGCCATCAACCTCCTCCAGAGGCCCTAGGGTAAGAACATGAGAACCTGTGCGCTTGGAAGGAAGGAAGGACATATTAATGACTACTGATCATTTTCCTCCAGGCAGACTTGTGAGCTAGGAAAGACTCTGGTCACCTCAATTATATAGACAGGGAAACTTAGGCACTATCAGCGAATCAATGACAAAGCAGAAGTAAAGCCCAGTGCTCTTTCCTGGTTGGGCAAAAACATGAAAGTCAACATCCACCAGGCTGCTAATTGTGCTACATATCAGTGACAGGGTGATTATCTTCAAGGACAGCTACTAGAATTACTTGGGATTGTTGGGCATGGTGGCACATACCTGTAATCTCAGCAGCTCAAGAGGCTGAGGCAGGAGGATTGCAAGTTCAAAGCCAGCCTCAGCAACTTAGCAGTCATAAGCAACTTGCAAGACCCTGTCTCAAAAAACAAAAAGGGCTGGGGATGTGGCTTAGTGGTTAAGCACTCCTGGGTTCAATTCCTGGCACAAAAAAATTATTACTTGGGATTAAGTGGAAGTTCTTAATAGTRCCTATTAACCACAAGAGAATACATTGGAGAATAAGCTGTATTAAAACTGGTTGGAACTGGGGGGTAAGCAAAATGAAAGGTAAAGAAAAGGAATACAATGTTAGTGCAATAAAGTGTTTTGAGGGCCAGGTGAGCTACTAGATTTGTACAGGGGTTTTATGAATCACTAAATCTTAATTTGTAAGCCCCTAAACCTTCTATAGTTTGCTCTGAAGCCGGTGGTGCCAGACTTTCCTTCAAACCTTGAATGGATCTCCTTGAGTTGCTCCTAAATAATGGAACCAGAGGGGTTATTTTCAGGATCCTTTGAGGAATTTCCATAGGATCAGGAACTGGGATTATGCAACTTCAACCACTCCCATTGCCATGCACTGAAAAGTCTGGACCCAGAGCACAGAAGTTCAGGCAGTTGCTTGCTTTCCCTGAAATAGCTACTTTCTGACTTGTTATCACCAGTATGTTTCTGGAAAAATGTTGGAATTCAAATGTTCCTAGAGGGTAGCTGTTAAAAGTAATTTATTCACATGTCAAGAGGTTTTTATTTGTTTTTAATGCTTATTGGTACTTCTGCATTAGAAGTAACTACAAATGTCTTATTAAAGTTTCCACTTGAAATGCACAATTTTACCTCATTTTATTATAAGGAATTGTTACAGAAAATCCAAATATCAGTATTTGAAAAATACATTCCATTACACAGACTCAAAAAAAAAAAAAAAAAAAAAAGCCCATAAGCGCCATGGTCCTATATGATGCCATTATCCCACACTGAGCACCACCTCAAATGATGTGGAAGCCAAGGTGATCAACCCAAATGTGTACCTGCAATTTCTGCCCAGCTACTGCCCTTGCCCTTGGTACCACAGGGTTGTCATGGAACAGCCAACTCCACACAGTCAAGCAGTCTCAAGACTCCTTAGTTACAGAGAACCAATGTTGTCAGTTGTAACAGGTTAATATATTATTTACGCCACACAAAAGAGAAACTGTACAGATGATGATCTTCCAAAGAAAATGTTTAAGGCATCTACAACTTTTGGGGATTTAAGTGTTTTGTTTATATCTGGTCAGACACTCAGCTCTTCACTAAATCACTGCCACAGGGTGTGAGTGTGGCTTTCAGTGCCTGGGTAACCATTTTCTCTCTGCTGGCTCCTCTCTCCAGCTGGAAGGAGAAGCTCTGGTGCTTCACATGGTTATTCTGGGGCTTTTGTGAAGGAAGCGAGTGTTTCTATGATGGAAGTGTACATTTAATTGTGCATGCCACTGTCACCTGGATGTTTGCTTTGCCTCAGGTCTAAGCATTACATAATTCAGAAGTGTTCTTTTTCTCCGGATGAAGGAAACCTAGTGGAGCTCAGTGATCTTCCTGTTCCCAAGCCTTCCCTCCCCTCCATGCCTGTGGACAAGATTAACATAGGAACAGTTTATTACAATACATGAGACGTGAATCAGGAAGAATAGAGAGACCACATGCACACTGAGCTCCACTCAGGGGCCCATTCAGGTATAGAGGGCGAAGCTGATCAGGGTGGTCAGAAATGACTGAAGGCTCTGAGGTAGAGGACTGAAGGTCATGTGGACCCCACTCCTTGGAGAGAATGTGGCAGGTGAATTGAGCAATCTAATCCAGCCTCAACTAAATTGATAATTGGTGTTGACAGTGTACAGGCACAAAACTGCAAATGGAACACGTGTTCTAATGCATCATTCAGTGAGACACCACTGGAAAGATAACTGAAACTAGAGTCCTAAGTGTAGGCACTTAAGTTTGTGGGACATTTTTTGTGTTAGAGGATCACGGCAAATTAGTTTAAGCCATTCAATTTATACATATCACATGGTTTGTACCTCTGTCTTAAGTCTGGCAACGAGCAAGAGATAGTTACAGAGCTAATTCGGCATTAACAATGTTGAATGATGCAGCAAATTATATTTCAGCAAAGTTTATTTTTCCTGCTCTATTCATTCACAATTGGCAACTTTCCAAATGAATAAAATTAAATTTTGCTACTAGTACTCAAGCTACTGATTAAAATTTAACAAGAACAGCTAGGCAGTTTTGTAGTCAAGTCTTGACAGCATGAAGAGCATAAGAGGGACACAGAGTGTGTCTGGTCCTGGCCAGGGCAGTGTATGTTGGGGTCCCACAGGGCAGATACCCCTCAAGGAGCTTGCTGAGTGCAGCCCAGTGAGCAGCAAGCAGTGTGGTAGATTTAGGGAGATTTCCTAAGACTTGGGAAAGAGGCCTATTCTATCACTACATGAATGCACCAGTGCAGAACTCAAAAAATGCCCCCCCCCATCCACGGTTGGTCAGTATCATTGCTGTCCCTGGACTCTGAATAAAAGCTTGAATCAACACATTTTAAACATGATCTTAAGATTTGAAGTGCAAGTATAGGCGAGACTTTTATTGAAACTGGCATGGGAGGGCAAGGGCAGAACAATCCCTGATTGAATTCCTGTCCTTTCCTTTCCACTATGAACATTAAAAGAACAAGTATGTATGTACCGACCACCTCAATTCATATCTAAATCATAATTATTTTGCTTTCTAAATGTCAAGCTACCTAATGAAGCCCTATGTTCTTGTGGGCCTTTTCAGGCAACAGAAAATGGAAACTGACCACATGCTTAAACATGGTCATTTACCAAAACTTGGTCAAATATTTTATAAAAATTCTGTATGAAATATATCACAGACTGGGCGAAGGGAAATTTTTCTCATTTTTTTAAACATTGTGCACAAGCTCATATTAACATAAAAAGCATATATATCTTATAAATCACAGAAATATTTTTTAAAAGTAGCACTCTGGTTTATCAGCGCATTTTACACACATATTTAGGCAATAGAATGTTTAAATCTACAGCAACATAGAGGACATACCACTATCCAAAGGAGAAACAAACAAAACAGGGATGTTGCAAAATAATACTCAGTCCCTTTTACACATATATCCATACTTCATTAATGCAAAAAAAAATGTAGTGGTTATTAAG